GCATCGTATTCTACTCGTTGCGAGGACAAAAAGTGTCGAAGGAACCACGGGTAAAATTTTGAATGTACTTTTTTTTTACAAATGTCCACCGATCCAAAGTAGAATTCCGCGGCGGTGGTCTTTACACAACCTTTTCGTACACCCTGTACAATACTGTACTAACATGAAATTAGTTTGAACGTGATTCTTCTGATGTTAACACTAGGTTTACGGACATTTCTCGTTACCTATCGAAACCGCACATTTTCTATAAAAAACAACTTATTTTATTTAAAAACAACATATTATACACTATTAGCTTAGTGAAATTCGAAATGCGCCAAAATGACGCGGTCCCGTAACCCTCATCCGTCCCTCGTGTCAATTTGACACATTTTTTCGGTAAAAAAATTGTACCATTCGGCTATTTGTAGAGAAAATTGTTTGTTTATTTTCTATATTTAATAAAAGAATTTACAAAATTAATTATTTATCTTTTCATTTAATTAATTTTTTACCATTGTGTCAAATTAACACCGAGGGACCTATTAAGATGCGAAACTGAGGGACGGTTGAGGGTTAAACATGAATAGCAAAAAACCATCTTTATCAAACGCTCGATTGTTACTGGCTTTAAGTCATTTAAATGCTGCATCGTTTCTTTCCGATTAATTTAGCTTGATTCTTCGTTCTGCGATAGTCTGTCACTCTGGATATAAAAAGATCGCTAATACCGCGACGCGCAGTTTGTTTTCTTTGTTTTTATGCATAATATTTTTCACACGTAGCAACGGTTATTCTGAATATCAAACTTAAATGTGTACACGATAGTAAATAATTTTTTTTTAAAACTTTCTATAGAAGGGAAATGGTTCTAGTTTGAAATTGCTCGACTTGTGGGTCCGAGGAACCTCCTCCCCTTAGGAGTTCTAGGATTAAGAAAAGGAATAAATAAAAGTGGACTGCCTCCCAAAAGCAAAACAGCATATCAAGCAAAGTAAAAGCGTAGAGCCCCAAGTACCATTAATTACATGCAGCAAAGATAAAGGAAATAAAAATTTCAAAAGAAATAACTGAGTAATACCAGGACAAGAGGCTTCCTCTCCATTGTCCTTGATGACGTTTTCACCTGCAGAGACGATGATGTCCCAATTTAAAGTAGTAGCGTAGCATAATGCAGGATTCTTCTCGATTCGAACACTACCTCTCGAGATCTCTGTCAGCTTCTTTAAACCGATCTGCAAGAAAGAATTCACCGACACGACGTCGATTTAGCCTCGATAGAGCTAAACTGGTGGCCAGAGGTCGAACGACCAGTTAATTCGATTGACTAATTAACGTCACTTGACGGGAAGACACGAGAGTTCAGACTGGTTTATTTATTTCTTCGATCTGTAGGGAGTTGGATTTAACCCTTGTACAGAAATTGGGTCAATTTGACCGAAAATCAAGATCACAAATTCCTTTTCCTCGGTTATTAAACGTGCCATTTCGACTGAAACTTTTTCCTATCCTTAAACATCTGATAAGCGTTAATAATCTTTACAAAAAAGAACAAAATTCGTACGATTTTTTAAATGAAAATGGGTCAATTTGATCCAGTATATGAGCCGTTGTTTTTTTTTAAGTGGTATCTGTTAAATGTTCCGAAACTGCTTTGGAAATTTTTAAAACAATTGTAGGTAATTTTTTAATAGAAAAATTGTCGAATATATGTGGAAATGGAAGGCAAAGTATGCTGAAAAAATTGTATTATTAGCACGAAAAATTTCTTCTAAATCTGACAGATTCGAATTTTGTGTAACAATTATTTATCCAATAAATTCTGAATCTTTTCTCGAGAACGGTTTGTATACGCATTTTGTTACCAGTGTTACACTTCATCGAAGTATAATTTTCCATAGTTTGTTTGTCTTGTCGAGTATCGCGGTTACAATGCAAAGAATCGAACGGGGGGGGAAAAAAAAAACGATATTTTCGCGGGCAAATATTTGCCACCGGCGCGAATATTGATTTATTTTCAGAAACAACACACGCGAGTCGTTAATACTGTCTCGTTTTTCGAGATTCGACCAGAGCTATTCCCTCTCCGCTAACTGGCCAATACTTGCTCGGCAAACAGAGCGTTTATTCGATCGTTGAGCGTTCACCTTTCCTCACCACGGACATCACCACGAATATTTCAGCATTTAGGGGTGTACGAGAAGATGAAATACTTCGTGACTTTAAAAATAACAAAATTCCCAAAATTTTGTCTACACTTTCGAAGAAATTTAATCCTGTACAAAAGAACAGTGAAATTTTGGAATTTTGAAGTATTTGAAAACAAAGTTCCTTAATATTTTTTAATTTTTATACACCACTATGGAGAACATACAATGAACCACCATTATACCCCAAATTCAACGAAATAAAAACCAATTCTAACTTTACAACTCTACAAATATTCTATAACAATTCTATAATAATTTTTCATTCTTTCTTTCTTTCAAAGTAACGTTCAATTTTTCTTTTATTTATTTTTCCACCAATATTTTTAGTCTACTACATTATGACAATTCTACGTTGGTACTCACCTCTTGCAGATTCTGCATCTCATACACCATGAACGCGTAGTCAGTCAGCAGAATGTTCCCCCTGATCACTTCGAGATTTGGAAACAAGTTGTGCAGACTTTTCAAACCGTTCACCCGATAAAGTAACAGATAACCAGTGATCTCTCGAAGTTCCGGAAAGCTGTACGGTAGAAAGTCTTTCTCTGAGTTACTCTCCATCAGCACAATCTGCAGGAAACCCTCTATCACTCGACAATCCTTCATAATTGCAAACCCTGCCGCGGTGTTTCTTATATCGATACTCTGGCAGATTCCATTGCCAAGCGTCACGTTTTTGTATCTTCGCATCTTGTCGCGGATTATGCTGGTCGATTTTAAACTCGGTTTGGGAAGGTTCGACAGTTGGCCAGGCTGCTGATTCAATTTCGCGTTGGTTTCCGCCGATCTACGATCATTCAAGAGAAGAATTGCTCGAGAATGCTCGAAAGTGTAACGGAATCCAAGTCCAATTTTACAACACGAGATACTGACACAGAATCAAATTTTCAAACAGCGCTGATGATTCTCCATAAAAAAGTACAAGAAAAATGTAGAAACACTTTTTCACCTAAACCTGTTCCTTCGCGAGAGAATCGACTTTGAAAAACTTTGGGGCACACTCAAGAAGGCGCGCACCCAATTCTTTTCAATTTCAATTTTCTTCCAAACGAAGATTCCTACAGCAAAACTTTTTATGCATATTTTACCCCTTTTTTTACGAAGAATTTCACTGTATAATTCACTTATCTAAAAAGTGTCGTAATCCACTTAATAACCTACTCCAAAGAGATCAAAATTTATGTATAATATATTCGTATAATTTATTAGCTTTCTGAAGATACTTCAAAGTTCATCTTTTCATCAAATTTACAATAACAGTATTCAAAATTACAGTGCACCCTCGAACAACTCGGTTTCGATAATACGCGGATTTTTTTCTTCAAAAATTTCGACGTTCATTTCGAGCCAATTTACATATTTAGCATACCTTTACAATTTTCTTTATCGTGATGAATAAGAGTGGTGAGAAAGGGAGCGAACGCGAATTCATTCGCGTGCACTAGTTCCTCACAAATTGCCGCTGCATGCAGGAAGCAGTGACAACGACTTCAAATAGATAACGAACAAACTTGGGAGAAAAACCAAAGGAGCAATGTGTCGCTGCGTGCTAGAAGGAGCTACATTTAAGTAATTACACGAGCGCGCGTGTGTGTAAATATATGCACATGCGCCGGAAGAATATAAATGTTCTCCAATTTTTTGTGAAGACGGGATTTCCATCTACACAGACAGTGAGCGTCCCTAACCCCCGCGTTGTTCGAGGGAGCACTGTACGTGGAACAAAATTTTTTTATGACACTTTAAGTATGCCCCTTTCTGTCAAAAAAGGAGTATTACGATATCTTCACTAATTTAACCAGAAAAAATTGTTAAAGATCGCTTATTTTTCGGGTTGTCAAACGTGACTCCCCCTTAACACATTGAGCGCCCGGCGACCTAAGGGACATTTAAAGCCTGAGCGCCGGCAACGTATCGGCCACTTAAAGCCCAAACGCCAGCCTCATTCGCTTGTTTCTGATCAATGAGTAGCCAAAAACAATATTCAAAACATTATACATTTTCGTAAAATAGTACATACACCCATACCAGCAAAAAAAATTCCACATCATCGTGGGGCCGGCGCTCAAGCGATAGACTCAGAATCCCGCGTTTTCACGGGGCCGGCGCTCAATGTGTTAATATGATAAATTCTCTTTCTTCATGAAACAATAGTACAAAAGGAATTGAAACGAGAAATCTTGAAAACTGAATGCAACTCTAACCTAAGAGAGAGTTCATAGCTTCATCACACCTCTCACCTACCTGAGAGCGTCGACAGCCTTGTTGCTTCTATAGGACATAATCCTAGCATAGAACACATCATCAGATGTCTCCAGATCTCGTTCCCTTCTTCCATGTCCTAAAATAGCCTCCCCGATCCTCTTATCCGTTTCATCGTCCTTTAACCGTCTCTCAGCATTCTCGCCGTCGTTCAGACTCGTCCTGGCCCAAAATCTTTGCTCCTGGCAGCCGACCAGCCGCGTCGCGACGCAGAGGAGCACGATCAGCACCACCAATCTCATCTCCATCTCTCTGTCTCATCGACACTGTACACTATCGACGAAGTGATCGTGCAACCTTCTCGAATTACCCCACCCTTTCAGCGTAATACGCCTCCGCACGATTAATCGATCGTCGAGGCAGAAACTCTTCTTCTGTATTGTCGGGGAAGCTTCGAACAGCTCCTATATCTCTCGCAGCCCCCGAATACACTTATCGAATCGTCGTTTCTCGATCCTTCTGACTCTTCCTATCCTCCTTTGTAACCTCTCTGTTCTCTCGAGATCTTCAATGAATAAAACAATTATCGAAGATTCGCCGAGATAATTACAGGGAAGATTCTGGGGGCTAGCTACGAATTCTCTTCTGTGCAACACAGTCCAACGATTTCTACTTTCTACCTCGTGCAAACGATCAGAGAGCACGGTGAAGTACGGCTGCAGCTGGTGAACGCTCTTAATGGCTGCTCGTCGACCTCGTTCGCGGCTCCTCTGGTCTCATGCTCCCTTGTCGCTGGAGAACAGTGATTTTGTGTGATCCTTGAATTTCTTTTCTTTTTTCTTTTGCAATGTTCCAAAGATGATCCTGGGGAAGCTTGTGAAGAATTTTTTGGTGCAACCTTCCAGAGACGATCTGGAGGTGGAGCTTGTGAGGAATTTTTGGTTGACGAAGATATGATGAGAAATCTTGGAATTGTCAATTCGAATGAAGTTTGTTTTTATAGTTTTCGTCCAGCCTTCTTTTTAGAGATTCTTAGGCCCTGTGTGTTCAAAGTAGCTTCTTGTTGAAGATGAAGAACTTCCTGGCCCTCATAGCTCCACTCAAGCGACGCCTGAAAGTAATAGAACAGTTCAGATGTGATTAGCTAGAGCGTGTACGAGGTTCGGGGAATATGTGACGACTATTTGTGTTTCGTTCAGTAGATGATCGACGTGATCGTCGCCCAGAGGCGTGCGACTAACCGGCCACTTGACCCTTTAAAGAGCTGCTGTGACCCGTTTATGGCAGTGTGATACGTTTTGTGGTGTCTGTTGCTCTCATTTAAGCTTTAAACTCGAGATTTGCTTTTTCTCTTCTCGTTCAATGGGAATATTATAGCGAAGAATTTTAGGTAATGCTACCTAAGACCTCTAGAATCTTTGCAATGTTTACTTGAGATTTCTCGAATAATTAGAGAAATTTGTGACGTGTAAATCATCGATTTGATTAGAATTTTAAGATATTGTTTTTTTAAATTTGAAAGTCAAATAAACCGTAAATTTGAAAATTGTAATTGAATTTTTGGAAGGACGTTGAATTTTGTCAGAAATTTAATGCTGCACAATTTGATATCTACTTTTCGACCACCCAAAGTTTGATAATTTTATAACTAATTTTTGAAAAAATTGGAACTATTATTTGTGAATCTAAATAAAATGTAAATGGAGTCAGAATTATTGCAAAATAAAATAACTTTATACGAATTTTAACTTTAGATCTAGATATTTTGCTATTTTTTTCATAGATATAATAGTAATTATTAAAGCAGAAAATAAATAATAGAGAATAAAAGATTTCGTAGAAATATTGTCAATATTATTCACAGAAAATTCTCTGGCACAGATAAACAAACAGATGCCAGTCAGTCGTTGACACAGTAGGTTTTGCATGAAAAATATCAAACGGTAGTTCACGAGTTGCATTTTCGTGAGGACCCAACTGGTTTTCTGTAATTACGTCGATACGCTGTGAAAGCTTTCGAAGATAAAACGAACACTGCATTGCAATATATTTTACATTCACCTTAATTCATTTTTAATGCATTTTTTTTTTCAGCAATTTAAAAACTTCTTTCCTTATATTCGGAAAGACTGAAGTTTGAAGAATACATTCGGAAATTGTCAGATCGTTATCTTGAAAGCAAAAGGATCATTTTTGAAACAGGTTTTTCTAAGTTTGTGGAAATCAAATCTTAGAAACTAATCGCCAGATTTGCATGAAATTTGAACAGAATATTCTTCGAAGCGTTACACAACTCTTCCATGTTCCATTTTTCAAAATTACCATTCCAATTTGTTATAATTAAGAAGAAAGGAAGCAAACGGTCGCGATGAAAATTTCAACTATTTCGTTCGAACTGTCGGACATCACACCTAGAAAATGAATCGTCAGATTTTCTTCAAATTTCTATAGAATACTCCTAGAAGCATTACACAGTCCTTCTCTATCTCATTTTCCCAAATTTCAATCGCAATTTCTTACAATTAAAAAGCAAAGGCAGACCGTCGCCATGAAAATTTCAACTATTTCGTTCGACCTTTTAGTCACCATATCTAGAAAACGAAACGTCAGGTGTGCTTGAAATTTTCATAGAATATTCGCAGAAACATTACACACATTTCCCCTATCTCATTTTTCAAAATTTCAATCTCAGTTTCTTGCAATTAAAAGGGAAAGTATTCAAGCAACTTCGTACACAAAGAACTCTTCCAAGTCAGCAGTTCCAACTAAATTCTCACTTCCCCTATAATTCCCGGAAAAACAAAATATACATATACAAAGAACTCTTCCAAGTCAGCAGTTCCAACTAAATTCTCACTCCCCCTTCCTGCAAAAAAAAAAAAAAGAATCTCCACAAACCAGCAAGAACTTCTTAAAATTGCAACCACATGGGTGCCCCACAAGCAGCATGTGTGTAGGTGGTCGCACGTAAACGCAATCGAAGAAACTTCTCGCTGCCTCGAAGGAATTTGTAACAAGAATAAAACTCGACAGACCTCCCTCATACGCGACGAAAAGGGAGAGAGAAAAAACGAGAACAGAAGAAAAAAAAAAGTAATCCAAAGCTACTTCTATCCATCGACCAGAGACAGAGAAAGAGAGATAGGAATGCTTAGAATCTCGTCAATTGGAGAAAAATCATTTTCCCCCCTACAGGATCATTAAACGACCAACCAAGCTCGCAACAAGTCGAGCCTGGCGCGCGTATGCAGATTCTGATACAAATGTGTGCAACGTAGTTGCCACCGTTCCACGGTTCATTTATATTTACGTGACAAGTGTAATTATGTTGCACCACTGGTGGGCTTGGGGAACGAGTTCTCTGCTGCGAGACTCTTGCTCCGTCTTCCAACGATATTCGACTGGAATGTCCAAGTTGTATCGAAAATTGGAATTTATATCGCGACCGGATAGTAATGTGAATGGCCAGAATATGTCAACGCCTCGTATGATATTTTTTATTCCATTTCCTTTAGCTTTTTTATCCTAATTTACGTCTCGTCATTGGCACCGGCGTAATGGTTATTAGCGAGGAGTATCTATACAGAGGAACGGCCTGCGGAGTAATTACAAGCTATTGAAGAGTGTCGTGTTCTGTAAGAATTTTAATATTTCCGGCGATTTATGAGACAGTTGTTTAACCCTTTTTTCACCATTGGGAGGAATATGTGCCATCTGAGTAGTCGAATAAAAATTGAAGAGTTTTCTGGGAAAAAGGCCCATAGGAGAAAATAGTGAATGGAGTAGATTGCACTGGAAATTTTAGTTTAACTTGCACAGATCAAATATACACGGTTCGACAAAAAGTGCCGCTCTGACCTTTTATCGATGGAATACCGAAACGAAATTTGCAGAGAACATTTGTAAACATATTACGGTTTTGACTCAACAACGATAAAGTCAAGCAGCTCAGATTACGTTTCGTACAGGAAATACACCTATTTTATATATCAATGTAAATAAACAAGAAAAATATTAAATATATATAGTTGAAGGTCGCAATTATAGGTACTTCCAACGAATTGCCAGATAGTTTTCTAGCGGACGCACTTGTTGAAGCCGTTTTGCCTTTAACTTCATGGGGATTCTGTGGATGTTTCCAAAATGACCCTGCATTCGTCTCCCGCGTCCGTCTAAAACCATTCGCCTTCCGAGGGTTAAAAAGGATTTACCGAAAAAGACCTATAGGTCTCTCTTCCAGAAAACGCCCCAATTGATCTGAATTTAACATCCATTACAGACATGATTATACAGGATGCTTCACCAAATCTGTGACTAATCGGTATACTTTAAAGGAAAAAAATCTAGTCCCGCTCAAAGCGTGGAAAACGGAGGCTATTTATCCCTTTCGCCTTATCCATAACGAATACTTTTCACGGAACGAAAATCTCTCTATCGGTCCACATCGTTTGTACCCGAAAATAGGTTGTTTTATGGGCTGGGATCGTTTGCATCTCGTTTCCAAGACATTCCGAGGGTTAAAAAGGATTTACCGAAAAAGACCTATAGGTCTCTCTTCCAGAAAACGCCCCAATTGATCTGAATTTAACATCCATTACAGACATGATTATACAGGATGCTTCACCAAATCTGTGACTAATCGGTATACTTTAAAGGAAAAAAATCTAGTCCCGCTCAAAGCGTGGAAAACGGAGGGTAACTTCAATTGTTTAAATGAAGTGTGGAATAAATTGTTATATACAGTAGACTCCCTCTTAACCGGCCCGTATGGGACCGGTTAATCCGACGATATCACTTGTAGGTAGTAAATACAATAAAAAATACATATATGTATATGCATACAGTATGTATTATTTACACATAAAATCTAAATATAATATATCATTAATATAATTTAAAAACATATAAAGAAATGTTTATCGAACAATTATTTATATAAAGAAATCAATAATGAGCTTCGATATGGCTGATGATGAGTTTGATGTGCAACGGTTGTCTCATGTCGAAGTCCATTACTGCTATAGAAAAATCACAATCTGTTTCTACGGAAACCACTGGCCGGTTAAAGCGGTGTCGGATAAGAGGGAGTCTACTGTATTCACACAGTCCTTACAAAGTAATTTTTGCATGAAACGTTTTTCAAAATTTGCACGTATCCAAAGTTGTAATGGTTTCAATTGTCTGTACTGGATGTGTCAAAAGACGCCAAGGGAATAGCGCGAGAAAATATTCAGAACGCCTATAAGTGCCAAGGGCACAGCGCGAGCAAATCTTCAAAGCGCCTGCAGACGCTAACTGCAGTGAGAAGGTTAATAGTATCGAGATGATTTTTTTATTCAACTTCATCGTATGAAGGGACATTTTATAGTATGTGACCAAAAGAAAATCTATTAACCCCTTAACCTTGTTTCTTTTCTTTCTTTTTCGATTATGTATCCAAGCGTCAGCCATTTACTGTTTTAGAATTGTATCA